TATTAGGATCTTATGTATTATTGCAGATTATTCACACCAGGGAAACTATTCAGTATTTACACAGGTTTGACTTATTTATTTCACTTAGGAGTAGTATTCCATTTTATAGAAAAACCACATCTTCTTTATCCAGTTTCCAACTGATGGGCAAATGGGCTGTTTCCAAGTTTTAGCTATTACAAACTGTGCTGCTATAAACATTGGTGTACATATATCACTGTGGTTTGATTCTTTTAATTCTTTTGGAAGGATACCCAGCAGAGGGATGGCTGGGTCAAATGGAGCTTCTAGTCCCAGCTCTTTGAGGTATCTCCATATTGATTTCCATAGTGGTTGCCCCAGTCTGCACTCCCACCAACAGTGGAGAAGGGTTCCTTTCTCCCCACAACCCCGTCAACATTTGTTATTGTGTGATTTCTTGATAGCAGCCATTCTTTGTGGGGTGAGGTGGAATCTCAGTGATGTTTTCATCTGCATCTCTCGAATGACCAGTGATGTGGAACATTTTTTCATATATTTACTTGCTGCTTTTACTTCTTTGTCTGAGAAATGTCTGTTCATTTTAGATACCCATTTTTGAATTGGGTCTTTATATTTGGGGGGGCTGATTGTTTTGCGTTCTTTATATATTCTTAGTAGTAGTCCTTTGTCTGAGGAGCAGCTGGTAAAAACTTTTTCCCACGTTGTAGGTTGTGTCTTAGTTCTGTTGATGGTTTATTTTGTAGTACATAAGCTTTTTAATAAGATGAGATCCCACTTGTTGATTCTTTTGCTAGTTCCTGTGCTACTGAGGATTTGTTCATAAAGTCTTTTCCTATGCCAATGTCTTTGAGTTCTGCCTAACTTATCTTCCACCAAGTTTAGTGTTTCTGTTTTAATGTTTAGATCCTTAATCCACTTGTATTTTAATTTAGTGCATGGTGAAAGATAAGGGTTCAGTTTTAATCTGTGGCAGGCTGACATCCAGTTTTTCCAACACCATGTATTAAATAGGCTATCCTTCCTCCACTGAGGATGGTCAGCTCCTTTGTCAAAGATGATGTAGCTTAGTACATCTCGATTTTTTTTGTGTGTCTTCCAATCTGTTCCACTGATCCTCAGATCTGTTTCTTTGCCAGTACCATGTTGGTTTTATCACAGTGGCTTTGTAGTGTAGTTTCAAATTGGAAATTGTTATACCCGCTGCCATGTCTCTGTTGCCTAGGACGGCTTTTGCTATTCTAGATCTCTACTGGTTCCAAATGAATTTTTGGATTCTTTTTTCTGGTTCCTTTGCCCACTCTTGTATCCCAAAGACTGGGACAGTTGCTTCAATGTCGTTCCTGGCTATCAAACTGCCAATCTCCACTCTAACATAAGGCCAGCTAGACAGGCAGTGTGGTGCCCCTCAATTCAAAAGATGTTGTTGCTTTTTTGAAGAAGGGAGAGGGCACCCTTGAGTGGTTAAGATCAGGGAGGGAGGAACCTGGGTTCCTCATTTTCATACTCAACATTCATAGCAAGCTTTGAGCCCTGGCCCTCACTGAAAAGTGCCTTCCAGCTATGATATAAGCCGCAGTTCCCAGTCACTTTTGGGGCTTTAGTCTAGCAGGGCTCCCTCTTGTGTACTGCAACTGAGACCCTGTAAGTCTCACTCTGGTGTCTTATAAACCTGCTTCTGATTTACTTCTCAGATAACGTGGGCTCCAAAAGTCCTTTAAATCTACTTTGGATTTTTATCCTGATTAGTGTAGACAGAGCAGTCTTTTCCAAAGAAAGACAAATGAATACTCAAAGCTGTAAACACTGAAGAGCTCCAGAGACCAGCAGCCAACAAAGACCAATGGCAGAGACCAGCACCCAGCAGAATTGACCTACAGTGTCCAGCAATCAAGCAAAAGAAACCTAAACTGGCAGCAAATTCATATAAATTTAAAACAGAGAAGACATGGTTGACCAAAAGAGATTCAAATTATTCATTCAGATATTCTTATGGGGCTTAGAATTTAGCTCAGTGTCACCATGTCTGCCTCACAAGTGCAAGGTCCTGAGTTCAATCCCTGGTACCACCAAAAAAACAAACAAAAAAATTAGCAGATATTCTTATGTGCATTAAAAAGCCTGTTTTACTATTTAAAGAAAATAGGATTAGAGACGTGGTAATGAATCTCAAACCAAAGGGCCCTGAAATAATTTGGTTTTAGTATTCATCGCTTGCATTTTTTCCCAAAATTCCATCAAATAAATGGTTTAAAATATTAGTTGCTAAATTCCACATGTAATTTTCATAATAGTTCAAGAAAAATGTTTTTGTAGAAAATATTTATTTTCCTAATAAAAAAAAGCTGGAAAGTATAACTTGATTTGCAGAAATATAAGATAAAATTCTAAGAATGTATGTCTTTTTGTTAGGAAGAAAAAAAGACCTCAGTATGGGATAAAGCAATATAAAGTCACTGTTCCACTTCCTGCCATGACAGTGCTATAGGAAATCAGCAAGTTATAGAATTATATCGGTTCAGGTTTTAAAGAAGAGGAACAGCTAACCTGCATTGGCATTGCTTAACCAGCTACATGAAGAACAAAGGAAAAACAAACAGTGGCCTCTACAACCATAAACAACTCAGAAGATTCTGGACAGTCCATAAGAAAACACAGCACCCCAGGAAGTTCAGGAGGGTGGAGCTCCTCAGTCACCACGGCACCTACAGTATGACTCAGACATGCATGTGACTTGGTCACACATGTATCTCAGTTTAACTCCCTTTATGCTTCTCTTAAGGCAGTGAGTGAAGTGCTTTAAAGTACACATGCTGTCGCACACCCTATTTGGTTCAAATCCAGGTCCTGCCTCTAAGACTCCCAGGGAAGTGAAGCTTGAAGTCATATTGTCATTGTCTAATACAGCACATACCTACTTAGTAATGTTACGCAGGCGATTGCCTCTCAGGCCATGGGACAACCTAGGTCATTCCTTTGTGTGGGCCCAAATTCTTGGTCTAATTTGTCACATGATGGGCAATGCCAATCTGAATCTAAGTTGCTATTGTGTCTGCCATTCCCAGAAGGTGGCAGCAAGCAAGGTGAGCACTCTGAGGCTCCTGAACTGCCACCCACTGCTGCAGGAGTGCCAAACTCAAGAGTTAGCTGATGAAGGAAATGAATTAGCTATATAGTGTGTATATATATATTTGTATAATATGTAATAATATATGAAATAATAACCTATAATAGTATACAACTGTGACAGCAAACCATTTAGAGATGAGTACCCAAACTGCAAGCCCAAACCTACTTATTTATCACAAAATGCCAACACTGTGATTAAACCTGAATACGGAGGTTTAAGTTTTTAAAAAAACTCATAAATTAACATCTTTTGTGTTAAAACAAAAACATGCTGTAGGGTCACCACCACTGGTGTGTAGTATATATAAGTAATAATAGGTAGCATTATGAGTAATAATTTATCATACACATAATATATAAATATATAATACATAATTATATTACATAATATAAAAGAAATTAGCTAAGCAATATAAAATGAATTGCAGTATAAATTTAGAAAGAAATAAGGACCACTTTTTCATTGTTCCAAGTGGTCTATTTTTTATTCAGACTATGGCCAGTCCATATTGTAATTTATTCTACGAAAAAATGTGTTGTTTTTAAACAGACTCTATTCTTTCATAATCTTACATTTACCATCACTGGCATCTTTACATTGTTTCATTTTTCATTTCAATTTTTTACATACAAATGCTCCTTTCTAACAATTCGAGTTAGGAAATGCCACAGGGTTCGTTCTGACTATCCAAGAGTAAAAATGTATTCAAAATGCTTTTCATGAAAAAAATAAAGCATCAGAAATAAGAAAATAATATAATAACCCATGTACTCACCTAGCATCAGCAACCATCAATTTTAGTCCCTTTTCATCTATTCTTTCCTCCTTTTTGCTGAAACATGAAATTCTTATGTACCACAAAAAATAAGCTGTTAAAAGTCTGGCACGTTTCTTTAGTGTACAAATTTTCCTCGTAGCACACACTTATCTGTTTCCAAAGCCATGACCCAAATTCTTTTGATGGCCATAGAAATAAATGATTCTAATAAGTTGTCTACTAGAATAATCTCCGTTACGGTTTGGACCTTAAAATGCTCCCAAAAGGTCCATCCATATGTTGAAGGACTGATTGGCTTGCTGGCCTGTGGCACTGTTAGGAAATGGAGAAAACTTTAAGAGGGAAGTTAGGTCACTGGGTGTGTGTCCTCAGGGGGTGTTGGGACCTTCACCGCTCCCCTTCCGCTCTTTGCTTTCCCTTTTCTTCCATTCTTCACATCCTGGTTGCCATGAGATTTGCTTTACTGTGCAGCCCCACTGCCATGATATTCTGCCTTACTACAGCCCCCAAACCAACAGAGCCAGATGACCGTGGACTGTAATCTCTGAAGCAGTGAGCCAATAAACCTTTCCTTCCTACAAGCTGTTTATCTCAGATGTTTTGTCACAGTGACTGAAAACCTGCTAACACCATCTCTTTATTTTTCCTGCTTGCAAACAAAAAATTGGTAATTTAAAACCACAGGCTCTACAGATTCCACAGATCTGCTTCTGTAAACAATCTGTGAACTCCCAGAAAACATATGCAAATATTTTTACCACTTGTCTATTACCTAAGATGTTCCAGAGCTATCATATTCCTTACGGGGGGGGGGCTATTCCCTACAAAAGGTTAAGAACCTCTGCCACTTTCATATCTTGAAGTAGCATCAAACATTCTTTTTCACTCCCACCCCTTAAACAATCTTTATATCAAAACCCTGCACCAGTTACCATCTCCAGGATGTGTTCCCTGATCACCTCACTTGTAACTGATTCCCCTCATGTTTTCCTCCAAAATTTTCAGGCCACTTGCTGCCTAGATTTCATCAACTCTTTCAGAGGGTATTTACTATGTACCTTCTATGTCCCAGGCTCTGTACCATTTGGGTGTGCTTTATCTTGCATTGTTAAGATATCACAGTAGCTAACACTTACCCCATGTACACAGTCACAGCTACCTTGAATGGAAACAAAAATGAACAGAATTTCCGCCAGCTAACATTCAGCTTTGGAAGACTGTATAAAGCTAGGCTCATGAAAAAAATCACCCGCTTTAAAGGTTGGGTTATCCTTGGCATGGTGACAATGGACATCCAAGCCAAAAATTCACGCACCACACCTGAATACACTGTGACACTAGAAAACTATTCCAGAATCGGAAACTATGTACTGATCTCTGCCAGCACTTTAATTATATCATTTGTCTATGTGAGTCATACAACAGTCTCGATATCTAGTAGAACAGCTCATCACGAAGTCCACCTCTCCATGGATCAAGAACACCAACCTCATACACAAAGGACAGCAAACTGGTGCGCAAATACTGGCAATATGAAAAGTTTACAGATCCTTGGTGAAAACTGAATTGTTTACTAAAGGAGTTGGAAACTATTAGCTAAAGATTTGGCAAAAAGTAAACTCTATTACCACAGATGCCTGTGTGTGTGTGGGGGGGTGTCCTGTGTTCTATACTAGGCAAAAACTTTTAAATTCCATCCTGCCCTCCCATAGATGCAACGTTGGTCCTTAACAATGAAGCACGATGTTCTGGTGGAAATGTCTGCACATCTGTGCAGGGGCACCCTAGACTAGGCCTCTTTGGTCTTCAGTTATCCCATATACCCCAAGCGCTGAAACTATCAAATAAGAAAACGCGCTAAAGCGTCCTGCTGTTTTCATCTCAGGTGCTGCGTTGCCCTGCTTTGGGCTGAGCAGGTGCACTTGCCTCCTCGTCCTCTCCCACCTAGGACGGGCCACGCCGGGAGGGGCGGAGGAGAAGGACGAGGGGAGGAGGCACGAAGGTCACCGCGATTCCCAGACCGGGAGGACGCAGCAGCCGAGAGGCGCTTCCCCGGCACGTTCGGGCGGGGCGTTCACCGGAGACCGGGCACCGGGGCTACACAGCCTGGGTTCCGCTCCGCGTCCGCCGCCCACCCAGTG